GAAGGACAGGGACAGGAGCAGAAGTTTCTGCATAGTAAGGGAGCACATGGCCACATAAGAAGTGGGAAGCTTGCTGGCTGTTCCTGGAGGGGATTGCTGGCTGTCTTTGGTAATGGGAAAATGCCCAGGCTGGCGCCTGCTGGCAACACACGATCAGTAACAGCAGAGCCCTGTAGTCCTGCTGCAGGCAGTGGGGGGGTGTGACTGAAACATGTAAGCAAAGCTAGGACTTTTGCCAACAGGGTAATGAATGAAGAGGAAGATGTACCAACAGACAGTCTCTGGTATGGAGAAAATCTCAGGCTGATGTGTGAGGAACTGGTGGATGATGTGAAAGGGTCAAGGCACATGCAAACCCTTCACAGGTAGTTTGAGATGCACTTAAAAGATGCATGAAAGTAAATTTGATGGCGGTAGCTCAAAAATAAGTAAGACTCCAGCCTCTAACAGTAGGGCAGCTGAAACATTTGATGTGTAACTAAACAAAGGAGGAACATCAGAAACAATGACTACAAATACTGACACAGAACAGATGACCTAAGAAAAAGGTCAGAAAAACTGCAGCTGATGAAGTTCAAGATACCAAAGTCTAAGGTGGCTTGACTTTGAATTTTCAAAAAGGTTCTGATAATTCTTTCTGAAAGCTGTTAGAGCTAAATCGATCTTCTCACATGTTCCTTCCCACTGTGTACTTGTGCAGATGTGTTATGACATGCTGGCTTTAGCTTCAAGAACACCATTATTCCCCTTTCCATTTCCTCCTCAAAGCTTAATGTGGGGAGGTAGGAAAAAAAAGACAAACCATCTCCATTTCTAACAGTTCCCTGTTTTATTGCAGTACATCAAAGTAGGTTAATATTAAGTGTGTTACCAACATAAAATATTGGTGGTAAGTCATTTTTACATTGTTGACTTTTCCACCTTAAATATTTCTGTGCAAAAGAATCTACATCATTGTTCTGTAGCAGAGAATCTCTTACAATGTCCCCTACAACATTGAGGGCATTAAACAAAATAGTGAGAAGAGGCAAAAAGCAGAATCTTTCCCCCACACGCACACTTGTCAGCTTTTATACTCTAAAACAAAAAAGTGATTACATCTATGCCATGCAAAACTGTACAATAATATTACAATGAAAAAAACCTAAAAAACATTTTAAAAATAAATGATATGAAACTGTCATACATAAAAAGGCAGGTATAATTGCTCTGAAATACCAACACTGGTTTGTTTGTGGATTTCTTCCCTGTGGGTGAGACTTTCTTAAATGCAGAATGAAAATAGGTTGCACTGAGCTGCGGCTGGAATGAAAGACAGAGTTGGAATTTAGACGGGAAAGCCTGCAGCAGAACAATTTATCAAATACAGTGTGAACACAAAGCACACAGAAGGGTGCAGTTTGTGTTAGTGCAGAAAGTTGTCGCATTTCCTTCACGGAACTGACTCTTAATAACAAAAAAATCACGGCAGAAGCTACTGTGTGCCACTTTGTTTCTCAGACTAAGGCTCAGGTGGTGTGGGTACTTGCACTGCAATAAATTTTACCCTTAATGTATTCATTTAAAATTAAACAGCGTGCATAAAATGGAAAAAAACCCAAACCCAAAACACCAAACCCTTCTTCCACCCAACAGCATGTTTGTCCTGTCATTCAGGGTCTGGCCATGCAAGACAATATGGTGCCAGAATCTGTTTCTGTGTTAATACTCCAACTGGTTTGTTTTGAAAGGCTGACGCACTCTGTGAATCAGTTAGGTGTGGTTAAACTACATTTCTATAAATACACTATGCTTTTTGGACTTTTTTGGTATGACAAGACCCTTAACTTCCCTCTGCCATATACCTGAGAATAACAGACCTGGCTTGTAATTTTATCAGAATCAAATCAAAGAGGTAACATTCCTGACTCAGTTTTGAAACTTGTTAAAATGAGCAAAATGCACATTCGTAACAAGCCACAGCAACTGAGAGGAAAAGAAGCAACTACTTCACCACAGCCTCAGGAATGTTTTTTTTGAAACCACCAGCTGTCTTCTACAGGTCAAAGGCAACAGAGAAGAGAGCACTATAACCCTACTTCTGGGTTTATGAAATGTGGAAGGAAGCCACATACCTGTGTGCACACATGTGTGGGGGAAAGCTATTTACCAAACCTTTTTCATTCTATAACCTGGAATCCTTAGTAGCTGCCTGAATCTGTTCAGATCCTTTGTTGCCATCAAAAGAGGGGGGGGGGGGGGGGGAAATATGCAAACCCCAACAACCCCTACGTTTAAGCAGTGTCAAAAATGCAAACACCTTCAGTCTCAGCCAAAAGGAAAAAATCTCCTAGATACATACTGTGTACAGAGAACATATGCTACAGTCAAAGATTCAATGGGAGATTTTAAGCTCCCGGAACAAAATGCAACCCTCTAACTGTGAAGTTGAAGCAATGCTACAGTGCAAAGTAGCAAACATCAAACCTTAAGATACAACTGTCTTTGAGATACCAGTCAAGAGTCTTACAGTTCAAATGACCAAGTTACTTTTCCTAGCCCAATGAGTATTTAAAAAGCTCAGCTACAGTATGCATATGTTTTCAGTGTTCATACCAACAAAGAAAGATGAGTGTGGTTTAAAATTGAGTGTATAATCAAATGGTCCCCAAATATATAAAACTATTCAAGTCCTAGGACAATTTTTCTCTTTTCGAATAAGTGATGTGGTCATTTGCTTTTCAACTGAGAGAACAGTTGCGGCTTCTCTTTTGAACAGATGCGTATAAAAATGCACAGTACCAAACTTATGATTAAATACAGTAATCCTAAAGGAGACTGCCAAGGCTTAGAAATTGTGGTGTACAAACAGTGTAGGCCCGTGGAGCTCCCATCCTCTAGACCTTAGTTTTGTAACACAGTTGACCTGCGCTCTGCCTGAAAATGTCAGTTTTTGATGTCAATAGATTGCAGGCACCATAACGGAGTAAACACAGGGGTTTACTCGATTTAATTGTTTGCTGTGTTGTGGCTCTTTTGGTTCCATTTTCAGATAGAGCATTAGCTCAACTGCAAAAAAAAAATCCACAAAAAAAGATCCTGTGACCCTCTCGCGGGGGACTGTCACGCAGGCTGCTCTATCTTAAATGACTGCTGTTTAAATGCCTTCTCTCAACATCAAAGTAAGATTAATGTTTAAATACAACATACAGTAAATACAAAACTAGTCTGCAAAGGCTTTGAAAAGTGTGTGGACATGCTTCACCAAAAGGAGGGAATTGTGGGGAAAAAGCAGTGGCTATACTTGAAGCAATATGCAGCCTTTAAAAAGAAGCTGATGTGGAATTTTAATAATGCCAATAACGCCCTGCCTATCTGTCCCTCAGAAAGACTGAAAACTATTCTGGGAGGAATTAATTTCAAGTGCTTAGCTGTTTGCTAACGCTTTTAATATTAAATGCCAGGCTTGCAAAAGTAGTAGCTTTGAAGTGAAAACAAACACCACAACCAGCTTGCTACTCTGAAAAACCCAAACAGGAGAGAGACAGGCTTTTGATATGATGGTTTCCAAACAAATTCTTGAATTCCTGTCCCAAAATAACATTGAATGAGCTTAAACTCGGACAAGCCTCTTGATTCAGAGTGAGAGAGAAATCTTACCTAGGAGACCCAGCGTGATTAAATGGTTTGAATGATCTGTGTCTTATTCCCTATTTCACATTTGGATCATACCTGGAAGTTACTGTAGATGGTTTGAACTTACCTATAACTTCTATTAGGGAAGACAGAAACTGGAAAACTCCAAAACACCTCTGTGTGGGTTAAACACTATATACTGCTGACTGCAGGAATATGGAATGGTTTAATAAAAGCCATAACAAGTTTCCGAAACCCACAAAACCCAGTATTCTAAATACAAAAAGCCCTTACGTGTTGGAGTATGGTCATAGTATAAAGCCAGCAACAATACTACTGAGAAGAGAGGCTCATTTGAACACACTCCCAAATGAAAAACACATCTGCCTTGCTAACTAAAGAGAAGAGACATCTTCCTCTTACCATCCATTTGTACGTCAGTCTCTCACTTTATTCTGTTGACTGCATGACCAGCTTCAGCTTTTTATTTATTTTTGCAACTTCAGTGGGCTCTGTCTTCCACCGCAATACTTTCTGCCCTCCAACCTGACCTGCTGTTGGAACCAAAGAGCAGGTAAGCACATAGAAACAACTGCAAATTGCACAAACCCACAGCACGGGTGGGGAGGGAGAGAAAAAACCAACCTTGCCGGCATGGCAGTTGTAGGTGACTAGGCATCTTCGACTACCACAGTGTGAACAGTGTGAGGTCAGTCTTCAAGGTTCTTCGTTGCTACAGTGACAGCATAGCCAGCCACAGCTAGCTTCGGGCTAAGGGCACTCATTTGGCTGATGTGTATTAGCAACTAGTATTTGGTAACAACAGTAACAGTTTTCTGGTTAGGGATGGTCAGGGAGATGTGGAAGCCTGCTCCCTTCAGAGTTAAACCTGCTCAAAGGCTGACCCAGGGAAACAGTTTTCATGCTGAGTCCTGCTGCATTGAACTCCCTTGCTGCCTTCGGGACCTCTGCTGTAGCATGCTGTAAGGTTCCTCAGCTGCACAGCTAGCACACAAGAAACCAGGCAGCCACCTGCCTGACTGCTGCCCTTGGTTGTCGGGGCAGGGGGTTGCTTTCCAATCGTTGTCACTTCTGCAAAGGATGGGGATTAATGTGAAAGTAGGAATTATAGCTTCAGTTACGCTACCGCCAGAAGTAAAGAAATGTTGTGAAAGCACTGCAGGGACCTCTCCCGCCAGTGCAGCGAGTGCTACGTAAAAGGAATATCTGTCCTGCGAAAGGTTTTAGGCCAGGCCTCCAAGTCTGTATATTACCGAGCATGAAAACAGGGACAACACAAATCTTAAATTAAAGGCTCTCTTAAATAAGCATCCATCTTCTGCTGCATACACAACGCTTTTTTTCTTTGAATATATACATACGTATTTTACTCTAACATCTGCGTATTTATTTAAACTCTGTACTGTAGTAAAATATGCATCATTTTAATCAATAAGGATTTGCTGGCGACAATCAGATTGACATTCAAACGTGGTGGCTGAAAGCTTTTATGTGCCTCTGACATACTGATCATTCCCCATGCAGGGGAAGGGGTCTGTGCTACTTTTGTACAGTACAATGAGCTATTGTATGAAAACAAAATCCCTCTGAATTTTCTCTTGTTGACACTGGTCTGGTCTACTTAGTGGAAGGGGGGTGGGATAAATATGCCTTTAAAAATGAAGCAGCTGTAACCACAAAAATGAAACCAATACTAATACAAATCTACAGCATCTGATATTTACCAACACCCTAGCTTTGCTCATTTGCTGCTGTCAAATCTGGGGAAGGGAGGGTGAGGCAGTGCTGAACGGTGGCTGAAGATGACCAGCTTTTACCTTCCTCTGTACCCCACTCCCAGATCGCTTTCAGACAGGGAACGTGGAGGGTTAGGATGATGAAGGTGAGAACTGGAACAAGTGAAGGGGACAGCAAGCTGCTGTGATGTCAAATCTGAATGCTGAAGCAGTTCATGAGTCCCAACTCACGTGGTCAGAGCTCTCCAGGGAGAGGCTCTTGGTCTTGTGAGGAGAAACCGGGCTGGGAGGGCTGCTGAGGTTGGAGCTGTTCGATGCAGTAGAGTGTCTCGGAGAGTCAGAGTCCTGCAGCCCAAAGACACAGAACACCACGAGTAAGTAAGAGGATAGCAAGTTTGAGAGTGACTGAGGGTGTCTGAGCAACAGGTGACTAGATTCAAAGGCCTCCATGTATTTTGCTTGTGTCCAAAAATACTGAGGGATTTTTTTTTTTTCCCCCCTCAGAATTTCCTGGTCCAGGCAGACTTAAGAGTAAGTGGTCAGATCACTCTGCTTTCAGCAGGCATAACTGACACTGACATAGGGACACAGCACCTGTGGGATTCTTGCAGTCTGCATGTTGCTGAGGGCCTCCTGGTTAGCAGGGTGTGCAACTCCAGGTTGCTTGGGAAGCTACAACAGCTCCTGCCTTTTCACAGATTATGATCTGAGATGCTCTTGCACTAAACTGAGAAATCTCTGTGGTACGGGCTTCATCACAGCTACCTCTATGTCGCTCCCAGGATATTAACTCAAAGCATCCTATCAAGTTACTCCAGTTGAATCTTCCAGAGTACAGTAGAACGCAACTATATCTGAGCTTGAGTTTGGGTTGACAGTTGCCTTCCAGTTTCAACTGGAAGGATATATTCAGTACCATGAAAAGCCTGTGTGATCTCTAATTTCCTCACTCCTTGGTAAGAAAATGGGGTGGGCAAGTTTTGCTGGCCAACTTCAGATTGAACCCTCCCATCTAAAACATTCTTGGTTGGAGGGACTGAGTTTAGCACTGGGCAGGACACTGCAGTCCTATCATAGTCTTTTTCTGCACAGAATATAAATTATTAAATCCAGTTCCTGCTCTAAATGAAATTATTACATGATAATTCTTAAATTACCTTGTTAGCTTCAGGCACTCTGAGTGCAAAATGTCTCCTGTGAAATGGTTGCTAAGATAGCTTGAGAGTCTTTGCAAATAAAGGGCAGAAAGAATATCAACACTTCAAACTGTGATAGGTCACTGTCAAGTTGTTACTCGGCCAGTACTTCTGGGAGCCTCACTACCCATGTAACTCCAGCTAAGGAGCACAGAGAGCATTTTTTGCATGTTAAATACCAGGACTAGAGTTGGCACAGTTTGACCAAATTCTTTTGTCAGGATAGCTTGAAATACAGGAAATCCAAGTCTTCATTGTCAACAACTCCCAAACTTGTAGCCAAACCCATGACAGAATCGAACTTCCTCAACTTTATCAACACACTTAGATTTTCTCCTCTTCCTCCTGTCACTCACCTCTCGCTCATAGTCCCTTGTTGGTGCATCGCTGCCTTGGTCCAGGCCACCAGAGGATAAGGAACCATCTGAGGGTGATGCCATGGGCTGACGCTTTGCTCCGTAGCTACCTCCTGAGAATTCCCTCCGCAAAGCACTGCCATTTTGTGCAGACGATCCTAAAATGGGCAGAGGAATTAAACTGTGTTACAGACGCCCACTCAAGGTACTAGAAATCTGTTAGCTGTTTCTCTGGTTAGTTCTGCTTTCCTCCAGCATGTCCCAAGATGCTCAGCTCATGGCTTGCAGGCTGTGTGGGCTTTTATCTTGTCTGCTGCTAGCTGCAGTTCTTCCTAGGGATTCTCTGGTCCCTCCCTTGGCATGTCAGCATTAGCACACTTTACCCAGTACAGACACAGTCACTATGTTCCCGACAAAGACAGCAGTTGTAGAAACTGCTGTGGTGGCAGCCTAGTTCCAGTGGCCTCTTTCCCAGGGAGCAGGTGGGTTGTACCAGCAGGTACAGACTACCATGGACACACACGCAAGCTGTTGGCAATGTGCAACAAACGCAGCATTTGCCAGAGGAAAGGAAAAAACCTAGAAAAGTTGGGACGCCAGTCTTGCCTCTATTTTCACATGGTCCATTTAGTCACTGGCCTGGTCTCAGCACAGGTCGCTGTGCTGACTCCGGCACACAAAGGCAGCATGGCAGCACTAGCAGACGCGTTTCCAGTGCAGTGTGGCTCTACCATACCAGTGGCCAGTTGTCTTCTGCTTTGTCTTTACGCTAGCAGTAAGAGAGGCATCAAGAGCTCTACACAGTTCAGCAACAAAGTTAATAACCATGGAGATTGTGAACAACTTGCCACCGATTTAAAACACTTAAGGAGCAGCAAAGTAGTCCCAAGGGCAAGAATGTAATTTGAATTCTAATGTCGGTTTAAAAAATTTGACAAACTACAAATGTGGGACTCTCAAAAGCGCTAGCTGGTTATTCATGTGCTCCTTTGAAAGCAAGATTAAAATACTGTGCTAGCCCTCAATGGGAATACAGTCAGCCATCGCTTCTGAAAATCCTATCTAGTGGCAGTATGGATAGAAGCAAGTGCAGGTAGCCGTTTCCCTAAAACACTTGTGCACAGACTGCAAAGCAACACAGTTCTGTTTGCTTACGTGCTGCTAACCCGCTGCTTGCGCTCATCGATCGTCCTGGTTCTGTGCGGGATTTCGTGATCGATGGGATACTGACAGAGCCACTGAATACAGTCCGACTTTCCTGAGGCCGAAGATTCTGCAATGCAGACACACACAATGACATGTTTACTTATTGACTGCTGGCTCAACCTTGGATGTTATGAAGCAAGGCCCCAAAATACATTAAAACCCCAACCTTACCAGAGCTGAATTATCTGGTCAGCAAAATTTGCAAAATAATATTCTGCAGTTTAGTGCAGAGACTGGAAGCACACGCAACGTGATAGTGAAGTGCTGAATTACATGGACATATGCAGACAACTGAAAGAGTATGTCTAATAATTCAAGAATTTCCTTGAAAGGATGGTTTGCAAGCCTAATCAAGCTGCTATAGATATATTCAAGCTATATCACATAATGCATTCTTTCTGAACACAAGATTCCAAGGATACTATTAAAATTTCTCTCTTTGATGCCATCATTTGTGCCATGCATGTGTAACTTTATACAATAACCATGTTAATCCCTAATGCCTGCAGAGTTATGAACACATAATGGCTCAATCTATATTTCAATTACTTATGTAATTCCAAACGTATTAACAGCATTACTCCAGACATACACCAGTTGAGCCAAAGTGAGAATCAGCCTGCTGTTTGCAGCCTGCTCAAAGAGGATGACCAGAGCACATGCCACTGTTTTTCTGCGTATTTTGATTATTGCTCCTGTTTTGCATCCTGAGAGTTCCAGCGTGATTTTTCTAAATTGGTAAGTCACTGGACTGAAGTGGTCCTTTACTGAGGAAAGAGATAAAACAGTTTCTCTACTTGGATATGGTAGTTCCTTAAACACAAGTTGTCTTTAAAAGAAGGAAAAGAGTACTTTGAAGTGAGTTCTGGGAGATTTTATTTCTGCTTCTGTTAACTTGCAGCTGACGTTAGGCGAAAAGGGTTCTCGGCTTATTTAGTCCATCTCTCTGGATGCAAGCTGGCTTCTTAGCCCAGAGGGGACTTTCTAATGCCCATGCATATCTTTTCACGTCTGGCTAAATATGAGACTTCAGCCTGTTCCTAACATGATTTGCACTATTAAGTCATTAGCATTAACTAGAATTAGGTTTAGGGAACCTTTACAGATGCAGAATGTGCAAAGAACTGCAGGTAGCTCTGAGCATTACTTTATTCCACTTTACAAAACACCCTGTGCAATAACTATTAATTTCTTCCTATTTATATTTAATTATTTCCCCATCCTCACTCTGAGACAAAGTAGCCACACATAAAACAACAGCTGCAACTGCAACACCTTTTTAAGCTAGGATGTTATGGGAATTTCAGACCAGAACAAAGATTCCACGCCCCACAAGGGTATTCTCAGAGACCCTCAGATACTACCCATTTCTCTATCTGTATTTTAAAATGGATAATTAAATAGAGGCTTTGTAATGAACAGATTTTATACCATTCAGACTTTATCAGGTAACTCTTACTAACATGCTGTCAATCCAGTCTTACAGTGATCCTTAGAGTCACTGCTGTAACAGATCCCTTTGCTCTTACAGTCAACCCTTTGCTTCTCATTCTCCCAGTGGGCTAGAAATGGCTGATTTTCAACATGCAACAAACCAGAAAGAACTAAAATCTCTCCTCTTGTTCCCAGATCTCTCTCAAACACCAACAAAAGAGAATCAGAGACCTTACAAATGAAAAAGCCCTGTTTAATTCTCCTGTCATCCATTGCTGCACTATTCTCAATGAGGATTTATACCTGAAGGCTTAAAAAAAGTCTCTTAAATCATTTGTGGGATCATACTGCTGTCTCTTGCTTACCTCCCCCCCCCCCTCTTTTTTTTAAAATGTGAACAACCAACCTACTTTGTAGTACAAAATACTCAATTTCTTATTCTGTGTCCTTCACCAGGCAATAAACAATCTGAGTTACAGATAAGAGTATGAGCATCCTGGCTGTAGATGAACAATGGAGGCTCCCCTGACAATATGCAAAGGAATTAATGGGCTAAGGAATAAGTTACTGCTGTGTTTTGAGAAACAAAGGACAGCCAAGTGCAGCACCATGCAAATGTGTGCACTGAGGTTAGTACACTGGAGTTGCAAGGAAGGTCTTTTGTACTTGTATAAGCCTACAATGGTTCATTTTGCAAAGAGAACAATTATGTTTAATGATAAGGTGACTAACCTGCTTAACAGTGATAAAGCAGACAACATACAGGCATCAGGGGAAGGAGGGAATGGGTGGGTGCATGAAAAAGACTCATTTATTTTAATAGTGTATTCTAATAATGATTTTTTTTCATGACCTCAGTTTGCAAAGTCCATGTAATTCCTTGTAGAAAGTTTCTCCACAAAGCAAATCTTTCACTGTTCTTTGTTCTAAAAATAAAATAAGCACATGCCAGAGACCCTGGCATTTTGGACCAAAACCCCTGGAAGCGATATGTACATGGTGCAGAAAGGGGATTCAAAGAAAAATAAACAGCAGTTATTAGCGGTAGTTATAAAGCAGCAAAATGCAGCAAGTTAAAAACAAAGGAAAAAAAACCCAAACCTGAGCTTGCTTTACTTAGAGACAAAAACCCCTCATTTAGAGTAACAATTAAAATCCTAGCAGGAAAATTCATTCCCACTGCGAAACGAAATGGAGAAAGGTGAGAGAAGAGGGGAAAAAAAAAAAATCAGCAGCAGAGAAGCTGCTTGCTGAGCAAAGTTAATCACTGTGAAATAGGGTGAAAGACCCCAATTAGTTCAGCACATCCCATTCCCAGCCAGAGAATGGAGCTGCTGTGGAGCTGTGGGTTATGTACGTGCAATCACTGCTATGCTCGCAGCTCTGCGGTGTTACCAAACCTCAGCTCTCACACCCACACTGACTGCTCCCACGCTGCCTTCTCAGGCAGAGGTGCGAGAACATACATAAAAGGTCTAACTAAACAGTTACAACACCCATAGGAAATTGCTTGCCTATGTTTCTCTGTCCATCATGCTGCTTCTTGTTGTTTTGGTTTTTTTTGTTTTTAAGTAGTGTTCTGTTCATTACATTATAAACCTGAGCTTTTAATTCTTCCATGAAATAATATGACAGAATCTAAAAGCCTACTTTAACGGGTCATTTTTCAACTCCTCTATGGATTCCATGCTGGTTTGGTTCCAATATCATGTCTGTACCTACGACCATGGTCCCCTCAGGGGGAGTGACTAAAATCTTCAAACACAAAGTGGGGATGGATAGACATGAAACCAAAACTCACAGCCTTGCCTTCCATACAGCTTACACCATCTCTACGCTCAAGCCACAAAGGAGACAAATGCTTTTCTTCATACAAGACTAAACCTCTAGTGCTCTAAGAAGCTAACAGGTACAGGATCTTGACACTCCAGGTTGCCCACTTCACTTTTTTTCTCCAATTTATGCTAGTAGGCTACAACGTTAGGATGAAGGATGCTCCTAAGCAAAAATTAAGAGTTGTTGTCTAAAACACCAGGGGTCATTCCTTACTGATCCCAGGGAAACTACTCACATGAGAAAGGGAAGGTAGAGGGTGGGTCACAGTCTAGTGATAAATCACTGCATATTAAACACAGAAAATTTTATGATACAGTTGGATTAAAAAAATCTGTTAAAACTAGAACTGAAATACAGCTTCAGCAACCCTATAAAGACCCTCTAAGAGAGAAACAACTTTCAATTTGGCTTAACAATATTTGTCTTTGGCATTTCAATAGAGCATTCCTCTTGTGTAGTTGCATCTCTCCTCCTACCAGAAAAGCCAGGACGGATGCAGACCTATGATCACAGGGCACGTTTTCCAAAATGCTGCAACTTCATTTTTGAATATTAATGGTTGTGACAATTGGGACTTCACAACAGTGACACATGACTATGCACGTGACCAGTCAAAGCTTAGCTGTGCAAATTTGTTTTGGAGCTATATGGAAGAGATTTTTCTCCTGCATTTTTAAATTCTCTCTAGGGTTGTATGCAGGTATGTATCCAAAAACCATCCCAATGATAGGGATCTGGAACAGCAACCAAAAGGCACTCAAAGTAGTCTGGCGGTGAAGGTTTGCCATGCATGTCTGAAGGGTGTCCAAAGGCCACAGAAACCAACAGCAGTGTTTCCATTACAGCAATGGGCATGGCTCAGGCCCATACAAATCTGGAGCAACCAACAACTGTCACATACATCTGCCTCACAGATTATTCCCTATTTATCTGTGAATCTGTCCCAAGCAGAACTGCAAGCCACAGCATGGTACACAATTACAATGCGCAGCATGTACTTGTGTGCCTGGTTTAGTATGGCTTGTATTTCTATAGGACCTAGCAACCCCCACGTAGTCAGACCAGGATGCACAATACAAGAAAAAAAAAAAAAAAAAAGAAGACCACTTCCACCCCAACAATTGACACTCCAACGAGAAGAATATCTACAGAATAGTACCTTACCCTCAGCCTCTGCTTAACACTACCAGGATTAAGAGGGTCAACATAAGCAAATTGCCATTATCTTTAATTTTTTATCTTGCTTGTACATGTTCTAACTTCTTTACTTTAACCTAGAAACTGTCTGAGGCACAACCTGCATCTGTCTCAAAGTATGTACAGTACTGTGTAAAAATTCTTGCACTCCACATAATTTCATCATAAACAGTTTGAAAGTTTGGTCCAACACAGACAGATCCAGAACCTTTTCCTAATGCAACCTGATACACAGCATCCTGCCACTGACTGCTGGAGGATGAACACTGTGGAACAGAGAACTTATCATTCAAAATGCCCACATCCTTCCTGGTGATTAAAAATGCTATTCTCACAGCGAAACATTCAGCCCAGTTGTTACACACTTTTTTTTTTTAAAAAAAAAACCATGAAGTATCTGTTTCTTGGCACATCAGAGCTGTGGAAAGACCACAGCTGATAGCAGAAAATAAATCAGCTGGGACAGAAGAAAGTTAAGGGGTGAAGGAAACCGCTTACAAGGGTTTTTCTCCCATGTTAATAGCCAGGCAAAAGGAAAACCACACAGTGTTAGTAGAGTGAACACCTGACTCAGCCGTTCATACCCTCCAAGTCA